TCCGCTGGTTATTTGTTGACTTATGAAATTGATTGGATTATTGAGGATTATCATTTATGGGAATGATAATCTGATTCAATGTAAAAAAAAAAAAATGGGTCGGGTTGTTTCAGTCTGCCTCCAGCGGGTATAGTTAAAGGTCCCCTAACCCCATGGATATTATAGTGTCTTTGGATCAGCCGTAATAAGCTTGTATTCACAGACAGAATAATTACCATAGAGGAAACTATGACCTCATCCATTGCTCTGGCCAAAGAGTGGCTCGATGCTCAGGACAATATGCCTCTCCCAAACCGACCTTCTGCCCCACAACCTCGCAGAGAAGATGAAGACCTGACAATATGCCAATCGGACACAACTTGGAATGCAGATAGCAAGAAGGCGGGGCTGGGCTGGTTTATCCGGTCACATGATAACCAAAACATTGAGAAGAGCCAATCAAGCACACACTGATGTCTCCCCTTATGGCCGAAGCTCTAGCGCTCAGGGAAGCAGTCATCTTCTCACTGGAAAAGAGTATTACAAGAGTGAGATTCGAGCCCGACTCATCTCAGCTTATTAACGCCATAAACTCAGACACGTCGCTTCTGAACCTTTATGGCATTATCGAGGACATTAAAGGCCTTTCTACAGGCTTTGAATATGTCTCTTTCACTTATATCAATCGCAAAACTAATGTAAAGGCCGATGGCCTCGCAAGACAAGCTCTTAGCTTGATGTATGAACACTCAGGATGATATGAATGGAAAATCTATCTTTAGCTCAAGAAAAAAAAAAAGAATTCTTGGCACGATATACTAGTGGTCTGAAATATATGTCGTAGAAACAAATTTTCTATATTTCATAATAATAAATGAGCAGATCATAACTATTGAGTTAAAGTTGTTTTTTTTCAATCCGACAAAGCAACGATCTGCTAATGGCAAACCCTTTCACATTATCCCATTTTATCGGCTATAGATCAAGCTTAAACTCTCCTTTCAATAAGAGATACAATAATGCACAATCATCAATATTTCGTATATATTGTCAAGATAAACTCTAATCATAATGGATCAACCCAAATAAACAAGGAAACACCACTAACCAGAGTGTGATTTACATTTGATGCATTTTTTCTTTGTCACTCAGAGTCGGAATTTACATAGTGGTTATAAATATGGAAATTAGTCTTATTCTCAATCTGAAAATTTCCATTAAAAAAGGGTAGAGGTATTTAACTTCATCAACCACATTTGCCCTTTATCTACTTTCCTAATTGTAGAGAAATAAGCCTATTTCTTTCCTTGAGAATCTAAGTTATATAATCTATAAGAACACAAAATTGTCAAAGG